ATGTTTTTCAAAATGAAGGGGTTAAATGGTGAAGAAAGTCATTACAATTCCATCCTGTCATGTTTCAAATAAGATAGCTTATAAATTATCAACTCGCATAGAGTTAACATGTTGTAAAATAAATTGGTCAACATGATAATATTGAAGTCCTTAAATATAAAAGGTTTTAAAATAAACATTAACATGGAGTACCTTCTCTACCTATTAAGTGATGGTTTAAATCTAGCCAGATCTAAATATTTGCAAACTATACGTTCAACCAAGGACCAACATCCAGAATCTATGAAGAATTCAAACAAATCAGCAAGAAAAAAATAAACAACTCCAATCAGAAAGTGGGCAAAAGACATGAACAGAAGTTTTTCAAAAGAAGACAGACCAATCACCAACAAACATTTGAAAAAATGCTCAACATCACACATCATCAGGGAAATGCAAATTATTAATAAAACCACCATGGGCTGCCACCTCACCTCTGTCAGAATGGACACTATTAAAAAATCAAAAAACAAGAGATGCTGCCATGGATGCAGAGAGAAAGGAACGCTTATATACTGTTGGTGGGACTGCAAATTAGTACAACCTCTGGAGAAAACAGTATGGAGATTCCCTGAAAAAATAAATGCAGGCTTGCTGTTCTATCCAGCAATCCCACTAGTGGGTATCTATCTAATGGAAAAGAAGTCATTTTATGAAAAAGACACCTGTACTCGAATGTTTATCACAGCACAATTCACAGTTGCAAAGATGTGATTGAACCTAAGTGCCCATCAATTCCTGAGTGGATAAAGAAAATGTGGTATATGTATACCATGGAGTACTACTCAGCCATAAAAAGGAATGAAATAACGTCATTGGCAGCAACTTGGATGTATCTGGAGACCATTATCCTAAGTGAAATATCTTAGGAATGGAAAACCAAACAGCGTATGTTCTCACTAATAAGTGGGAGCTAAACACATGAGCATAAAGAGATATAAAGGGTATTGGCAACCAAGAAGAGGGAAGGGTGAGAGAGGTGTGAGGGATAAAAACTTGCCTATTGGGTACAACGAACACTATTCTGGTGACGGGCACACCAAAAGCCCCGAGTTAAGCAGCATACAAGGTATCCATGTAACAAAAACATTTGTATCCCCTTAAACAAATAAAAAGAAATCTAGCCAAATACACTGAGAGTATGAACACATTTGTACACTACTGCCTGTTGATGATTTTGTAATTGAATTAACACTCTAATTAAAAATGAAGAACCATAATTTCAACTCAAATCTCCTAATGTGAAGAAAAATGTATAATGAAACTATTGTGGCAAAACCTGGAAAAGGTATTTATTAAGCTCTAAACAGGGAATAATGGTCCTGTCTGTATTTTTGGCAGTCAGTATTGATCAAAGAGAATATATTAGAGAATATATTATGCTTTATCCTGTAAAACATAAAGAACAAAAATTATGGTTCAGCAAACATTCAATGACTCTTAAGAAGAGACATCCTAATGTTTGCATTTGTACAATATCTTAGCTAATGTTTGTAATTACAGTTGACCCTTGGACGATGCAGGGGATAGGGGTGCCAACGCCCCGCACAGTTGAAAATCTGTATTTAACTTTCGGCTCCCCCAAAACTTAACTACTAACAGCCTACTGTTGACTGGAAGCCTTACCAATAACATCAAAAGTCAATTAA